TATGTGAAACAGTCCTAATTCAGGAGTTGGAAGACTTGCCTTATGAATAAAGACAATCAAATGTTATATGCAGGTTTCTTTTAAAATACTGAGATGATCCTATTTTGTTTGACGTTGGTAGGAAATAAAAATATAATGCATCTTTTTTATATGTATTGGCTAACTTTCTCCACTCATGCCTTCAGCAGTGGTAAAGGAAAAAAAATCATTTATTCAAATAAGGCATAAAAATCAAGGTATTGATAGCTCATAGACATCACCGTTTAAGTATCTGGTTATTTAATTTAAACACTCAGTAGATTGACTTATTTTCTTATTCAAAATTGCCAAGATATTAAAAATATCTTGGTCTAATTATGAAGGAAGACGTATGAGAGTTCCTAACCCAGATAGGAAAGGGATGAATCAATTCATAAAACCTTCGTTTCTATATTGCATCTTAGTTCAACAGTCATGCACAGGTGCTAGCTAATTTCTCAAATTTTCATGTATTTGCCTATTCTTCTGACTGGGAAAATGGTGTGAAATGGTGTAAATGATGGTAATAATTGGGGTAAAATAGTTCAAGAGCACCAACTACAAGGGAAACACTGGGGGAAAGTCAAGTCTTTGTTGTCTCATTGAGTATAAAACACCACATTCTTCTAATAGTGATCGAAAGAGAGAAGCACTGTCCATCTCTCAACGCTGGCATGGCCTGTTTCGTGTTGTTCTTTAAAAGCCTAACTTGATATTGCCATGTGAAGACAAAAAGGAAAACTTCAAACAGCAGTTGTCATCTGCTTTGTCATTTGTCCCCTTATTGAATACTTCTCTTGCCTGTATATTGGTTACTTCTGTAACAAAAAAAAAATTCTCACTTCTTACAAATCTATACAGAGAGTCCACCACACATCAAGGTTTGAGACTAGACATTCTGGGTGTGTATTTTCTTTTTGGCACAAGACTGCAATTTGGAAGGAGTATATCAGAATTTGAGAGTTTGAATTTACTTCTTTCTAGTATTGTCTATATTGCATGCATATATTAAACTCAAGCAATGACATCTTGAGAACTTCTTAAGAATTCATATTCGTAGGCTTCGACCACAGAGAATCCAAATACTTGAAATTTTTGCGATACTGTCAGGAATGTGCATTTTAAAACAAACATCTCAGGTGAATCTCCTGCATTTTCTTTAAAAAGATAAACACTGGCATCATTTATTCCAGTCATTTAGCATTTTTCAGCTCTCAAAATGCCTAGACTTGCATATTCAGTTCTGTGAGGTAGAAGGGGATGATGATTATCACCATTTTGAGGATAAAGAGACTCTGAGTTCAACAGTGCTTTCCTCCAGGCCTCATTAGATACTTCCCTCTTGCTCAGTTCTTTGCATACTCTCCTCAGTTGACCCTTTCTTATTTGGATGGTGACTTGCAAAAGATAGGGGACCAATAAACATAGCAGGTACTATCTGTGCTTTCTTTGCTCAAGATTGAGAAGTCTTCCAATAGTCCCAGAAAGGGAAGAATTCCATTTGTGGAGTGTGGACATTTCCCTAGTTGGTTGTCTTACCAGCTTGTGTGTGTGGGGGGGGGGTGGTGGTGGTAGGGGACATGCATGCATGCCTGTGTGTGCCTGTGCTAGTACTGGGGATTGAATTAAGCACCTCATGGTCTCCTTACTACCCCTCTTCCAAGGCGGGTGTTCTATCTACCATTTGAGCCACTCCATCAGTATTCGCTTTTTACTGGTTAGTTGGAGATAGGAGTCTTTTGGATTTATCTGTCAGGCTGGCTTTGCACAGTGATCCTCAGAACTCAGCCTCTTGCAGGGGAGAGCTGCTAGTACCCAGCCACTAGCTGATAGTTAAGCCATTGCTATAGTTTCATCCACATGAACTCTGGAGAATGTATAAAGCTTTGCTTTGGCAGCAGAGCCTGGTATGAACATCTTCTATGTCTTTCTTGTTTTGGATTTTTGGAAACCTAAGAATGAGTCTCCCATTCTCATTCAGCTACGCTGATTGCTGAGGTACAGGGCAGCCCAGAGGACTTCCCAGGATTTTTGTCTGTTCAACCTTTTTCTAGTAGTCTGTGCCATTCACCCCTATCTGCCAACTTCTACCTGCCTAACTGGCAGCTTGGAAAAGCCAGGCCTCCAGACTCAACACAGTGCTGAGTGTTTATATTTGGTGCTGCGTCTGGACTACCTTACACACCATAACCCTCATTGCCTAAACGAATTTCAGCTGGGCCTACAGGTTCATGGCTACATCTAGATGTCTCCTGGACCTCTTTGATTTCCACATTGGCGGTCAGATTCCACATTTTCCTCGACCTGTCTTAAGACATCTCTTTTCAACCTACACCTTTCTCTGCTTGCAAATCATCCATGAATCCTTGACATTATCTTTGATGCTTACAGAAGTATCCAAGGAGAGACTTGTGAGAGGTGAAGAGAAATGGAAAAGAAATTGTAAATACAGCTAATAGCCACGCCCACACCTCAACAGGAATCCAAGGTGATTGCTCCTCTCACATTTCCAGGTTTTCATGCTGCGTTTTTTTTTAACGTGAATGACTGCTGTGTTCCTCTAACATCAACTGTCACCCCAATTCTTCTGGAGACAAGATTGCATTCCAAGCTGGTTGTTGACTGCCCTTGCTCAGGTCACTTCCTCTATTGCCCACCTCTATTGCAGCCTTAGTGAACTTGCTAATTTTGTCTTTCTTTTTAAGGATCTGAGTCTGGGTTGTAGCTTCCAGAAGGAACCAAGGCATTCAGGTTCCAAGGTGGCTGAAACACTTTTCGTTGTTCCCAATATGAGCTGAAGGTGAGGTCCAACAGGAGAGAGCAAGAGACCAGGGCTACTTTCTCAACTGTCCACTTCCTTCCTTCCTAAACAGAGAATGCAGCAGGCTCTTGCATAGTGGAGACTGGGCTGAGTGCCTTCTGTCAGCACCCTCAGCCTGAACCCCTTTCTGTGCGCACCAGGGTTCTTCAAGCCTCTGGTGGATGTTTTGCTGTTGGGGGAAAAACTGGACACAACAGACCCAAGCTGCAGTTCCCTTGCTCTGCCTCTGAGATTTCCTCATCCAAACCTCAATCACGTAGGATTGCGTAGAGAGGAGAAAAGGGGAGAGACAGAAGACAGAGATGGGGGTGAAGCCAGGGAGAGAGGGAGAAGGGAGTCAGGGAAGAGAAGGCGCGGGGGACTGGGACCCCCAGTGCGCTCCTCTCTCTTTCCAGCGCCTGGGAGCTGGACCCCAGCTCAGTCCCACCTGAGTGCTCTCCAGCTGGAGGAGCTGTCCCTGTCCCACCCGCCGTCTCGGTGGCTGTGGCCTCTGCTTGGAGTTTCCTGCGGAGCCAAGCCTTCCATCCGAGAGAGCTGGCTGGCAGCCGGAGCAGCTCGGCGCGCCCTGAGCCTCTGCTCATGAATGGGACTCCGCCCTGAGCGCCCCCTCCCGGGCCTGGGGAGGAGGCAACCGGGCGGCTGGGGGGGAGGGAAGGAAGAGGGGGTGCCCCGCAAACCAGCGGCTCCGAGCGGCCACCCGCGCAGCAAGTTGGGCGAGTTGGCCGCGGTTGGCACCTGCCTCCTGACCCGGGTCTCTGGAGTCTGGGTTCAGCAGCCGAGGCCCAGGAAACGCGCTCCGGCACCTCCTGCCGGCGCCCCGGGCGGCCTAGGACTCCCCCTTCCCCCTCCTTCCCCCCACAAACCGCCGCCCCACCTGCCCGCTGGGCGCCAGACCATGGTGGGCAGCTCCGATCTGGAGCCGCAGCCACCGCGAGCCGCCGACGTCGCCCGCAGCCAGCTCCCCGCCCCACCCGGGCAGACGCGCGGGGGTTCGCTGCGCGCCGGTCACTTCCTTCCTCGGCTGGGATGGGCGGCGCGGGACTGAGTGATGGGCCTGGCGTCGGGAGGGTCATCCCCTTCTGACCTGTGCTGCCTGTGAGCTGCCCACTGCCGGGGCGCGCGAGTCCGGGGCGGGAAGGGGAGGGATAGGGGGGTGGTGGGGGGGAGACCCGGGCAGCGCGGCGATGACCCTGATCCCCAGCCCGCCAGGGCGCCCCCTCTTTCCCTCCCTCTTTCCTTCCCTTCCTCCTCCCCTCCCTCGCTCCCTCTGAGGCTGTGCGGAGACCGGCTCGGTGCGGCGGCCCCGGGAGGACCACGGCGGGGAGCTCCAGTTAAACGCGTGTGGGTGCTGGAGAGGACCCCCCCCCCCTTCACCGGCATCGCAGCCTTTTTTTTGAGGAGGGGGTGGGGTGGGGTGGGGGGGCTTATTTAAACGACTGAGTCATTCCAGATTTAGGATTCCCTAAATAATCACCAACTGTGCCCGTCTCGTGCCAGAAAGGCAAGCGGAAAAGAACGAGAGCGCCCGCTCTTGGGACCCCCGCGGATCGCCGCCTCTCGCGGGTTTCTCCCGGGGGTGGCTTGGCCCTCGAGGATCTCCCTGCGTCCCTCCCTCCCTCCTTCCCTCCCTCCTTCCCTCGTCCTCCCCCCCCCCCCCTTGCCTCCCGCTCTCTTTGCAGTGCTGCCGGAACAGAGTCGCCCTCCAGCAGCTGGAAACAGCTGCCCCGCGCCCCTACCCAGACTCTAGCTACCCGCTTCCCACTTTGCGCCTCTCGGAATCCCAGAACTCGGGCGGCGGGGCCCCCGGAGAGCCGCAGCCGGAGCGATGCATTCCGTAGACCTCACCCAGCCGGGACGGACCTCCTAAAAAATCTCCAGACCTGCGGGCCGCAGGGAGTTCAATTGCTGCCTTCCTCTCCGGCTCTCTGGCGGTTGGTGGCTCGTTTTCTAAAGGAACGTGTTTTTTGGTTTTGGTTTTTGTTTTTCCTCCTCCACTTTTTAGCATTTTCTTTTCTTTCTTTCTTTCTTTTTTTTAAACCGAGACCACTCTCAAGTCGCCTGGGGCCAGACTCTGCTTTGTAAACGCTTTTTTTCTATGTATGTAGTGCAGATTTACTTCGGACCACCTTACCACGCTTGCTCCTCTCCAACGGGAGCACGGCTGGTTGTTTTGGACATCCTTTTCCCTCTTCCACTTGGTACCTCGATCGCGCGCTGTGACCAAACTCCCCACTGCCCCTTTGGACGTGGATCGCCTTGGGGGTGCAAGTTTGGGGTGCCAAGGACTACTTCGCAGGAAGGCCTGAGACCGCCCCGCCCCCTCCCTTCCCCCCGGCCACCAGAGGCTGGGGAAGTTTACATCTGGATTTTCACACATTGTGATTGTCACTGCCCAGACTCTGATTAACCTTGTGGGAGCCAGGTTTTCGATACTGAAGCCTCCTCCAATACTAGCACTGCCTGCCCGCGTCTGCCCTTTTCCCTCTCGGCCCCCCGAGGTCCCGCCCTCGCCCCGGCGGCGGAGCGCGATCTCTAGGGCGCAGTGGAGCCTGGGGCCTGGGGCTTGCGCTGAGCAGCTATGGCTGCGGCGATAGCCAGTTCCTTGATCCGGCAGAAGCGGCAGGCAAGGGAGTCCAACAGCGACCGTGTGTCGGCCTCCAAGCGCCGCTCCAGCCCCAGCAAAGACGGGCGCTCCCTGTGCGAGAGGCACGTCCTCGGGGTGTTCAGCAAGGTGCGCTTCTGCAGCGGCCGCAAGAGGCCCGTGAGGCGGAGACCAGGTCAGTAGAAGCCCCAGACAGTGGGCTCCCCAGAGGCCAGCACCTCTTCTCTCCATTTCTCAAAGCGGCTGGGGACTGCTCATGGACAGGAACCAGGAACCCTTTCTCACATTCAGGCCCATCTTCTTCCCTAATTTCCACACACCCTTTCCAAACAACCACCTTTTAGCAGTTAGTTAACAGCCTCTTGTCCCATATTCAGGAGGACACTTTCTGCTCTGACTAGTTTCACAGTTTGTCTAGACAAGAGTCATTTGTACAGATGTACGCAGTCCCAAATGCCTGTGTAGTTCTTAAAGGGAGTCATCATCTCATCTATGCATCCATCTATCCATCCATCCATCCATCCATCTATCCATCCATCCATCCATTGATGCATACATTGATTGTGTCATGCTTTCCCGTCTCTAGTCTATCCATCCATCTACCTATACGATACTTAATACTGTCTACCGAGGATCCAAGAATAAGTCAAGCCCTTTCCTATAGCTCTCATAACAACACAAGTTAGATAGACACCAGAAAAGTGTAAATTTATTCTCAGTTTCAAACTATTCCTCTAGCAACACATGGCATTGAAGTTTCCAAACAATCGAGTCATTTTCTAACATGCTTATTGTATTTTCCACTTGCATAGTCCTTCTGTTCCCATTCTTTTCCAACCTCTTTGATAGTACCCATGGACTCTGCTTACAAACTTTTCTGTCTGTGCACACTCACACTGGTGAGATATTAAGCAAACAATATACCATCTACAGTGTGGGCCTTAAAGAATTTAAAGAAAACTTTAGGTGGGGCAGAGATTTGCATGCCCAAACCTTTCTCAACCAGAGTCTCTTCTATTGTCCTAGACTCAAATGGTTACTTTAAGGGAAATTGGGTACCTAAGGTGTCCATATGGATTTAGTAGTGTCCCAGCTTGAGAGAATGAAAGCAAATTCCCAAGATCTGTGATTCCTGAGGTGTGGATTGCCACTTGCAGACATTCTACCTTGAGTGTGGACCAGAGGAAAGCAAAGACTAGCTGGACAGGGAAACTGCGTTGTGATCGGCTAAACTAGTTTTATCTTTTTCTGGTGTTGGCTTCCAGGAATGAAGTGTCTAGGCTGGTCTCAAGTATTGTGAAAATTAGCAATTCGGGATTGAAACTTGCAAGAAAATCATGTTTTAGTTCCCATTGCTTCTTCATTATTATATTGCTCACTTTATTAGTGGGCTCATTTTTAAATTTTGTGATGACAATAAAGTAGTAAGTTGTAGGAGTAAACAAAAATAATTATGATTCCCCAAGGCAGGAACTACTAACACTTTGTTATTCTACAGCCAATTAACATAACCTGTGCCTTTTATAATGTGAAGATTTATACAAACACTGAGTTACCTCTGCACAGTAACAGTGAAACAATTCACAGTAGATGACAACAAAATCCTTTAATTTGGTGTACAGAGTTTATTTGGAAGCTTTCATTTGGGCTTATGAAGTCTATAAGAACTTAGAGGTTCTGAACTAAGTGCAATACTTACTACGTCAGAAATATGTTGTTGTACTCCAGTTTGGATAATTATATGATATTTTTGAGCTGATCTTACTTAGCTTCCTCAGTTGAAAACAAGGTAATAAGAATGATAAGTGCATTATATTTGTGAACAGATGAGGTAAACTTACTTGATTTTTGTTGAAGTTGATTTCCAAATAAGCAGTTTGCATGGCTTAAGTTTGCCTGGGGGTGGATGGCAGGACTCTGTGGCTTCCTTTGGTCCTGTCCTTAGTATCATCTTAGAACACAGGGAATCTCTGAGATTGGTGTTATCTTCAGTATATATTTAATCAGCTTCTCTTTTTTCTTCATCTACTTAGTGTTCATCTGGGTCAGGAGGATCCCGAGTGTGACTTCTTTAGCTAAGGTGTCACAGTAACAATCTCTCTGAGAGACAGTAGGGATTGTTAAGGCATGCCCAGCTCAAGGACAACATGAATGTATTTGTATTCCCAGGACTTCAGAAGAATGGGAATATGGGGTATGGAAAAAATTCGGGGGGGGGGAGATGATAGTGTGCCAATGATCATTACTAACAAAGCCAAATAATTACTCTGACTTGCTGTCAACAACTATGATTCAGAACATGGGATGAACCTATTTAAAGTGAGGTAGCACCTTCTATGTCTCAATTTCACGAGCAGTTCTTTTGTGGTTTGGGAGGAAGTTGCTAAACATCAACAGGTAAAACTTTGAGAACAACTGTGTTACAGCCATTTAATATCTGAATTATTCTTGAAACCACCACCTCTTCTGAGCTAAACCTTAGTGAATGAATGACTACAAACTGACTCACAAGTGGTTCAAGTGGTAAAATGGAATAACCTACCATGATAAAGAATTTCCACTGAATTTTTGCCATTGAGACCCACATCCCACTGGTCAGACTGTCCAGAGGGACTCAGCTGAAGCTGTGAGGCTAAACGAGTGATTAAGGGGCAATCAGTGTGTTTGATCTCAGGGTGGACACAGTGAATGCTTCTCAAGCTTTTTTCTTAGCTCACCAAGTTCTAATATGTAGCATGTTGAAACTTTACCAACACAGCAAAGATTTATCATGGTATAGGGCTCAGATCTCCAAACCACGTAAGTCCACAATGAAAACATTGGTGAGAAAAGCCTTCATGGCATGTGGTTCTAGGGCCATAGCCGATTAGAGATTTGTGCATCCATTCCTGGAACACCATGTCAGGGTTCATGCTGGGATTGTGCAGCACATCCTCACCTGTATCGGTGAGAAATCATAGAATCTCAGTCAGTGTCTGAATTTACACAGCTAGATTATGCCAAAAGTAGGCCTAAGTAAACTAAATTCAGTGCATTTGTTCCCACTCTTCATCGCCCTCTGCAATATGACAAAGAAAACAAGGGAAGTGGGGAGATCAAGACCTCTGATAAGAATGGGGATAATTTTGTGCTTGTGTTTCTAAGCATTGGCATAGGTGTTCCTAGTATCCTTATCAATATTATTTATAATTAGAATGGAGATACTGTAGTTTTGAGGAAGTAACTCATAGTAGAGAGAGGTATATGCTAAGAAAGGCAATTGAAGTTCAAAGTAACAACTGTAGCTAGCAAGCTTTCTAGAAGTGAATCCTCTAGTGAACTCCTACAGTTACATTGAGTTACATTCTTTGGAACCAAGTGGAATGTAGCTCTTCAGAAATGGAATGTTGGAAACATTGGAATTCCCAGGCACTACTGTACTTTCTCCACAACTGGGATTATAAGGTGTGACACTATGTCCAGCTATTGGTTCAGTTGGAGTCTCTTGAACTTTTATGTCAGGGCTGGCCTTGGACTTCAATTCTCTGATCTCCACCTTCCCAGTAGCTAGGATTAATGGCTTAAGACACTGTGCTTCAGCTTGTTGGATAACTTTCTGATAAAAGATAATTCTGATCAACATTTAACTAATTCTTTATGCATGAAATACCTGTATGAGCCAACCTTGTTAGAGTATTTCCTTAAATGTTGATGTCACTTAATTTTGAGTTTTAGAATATCTGCATGAACTCCATGGTTTGTTTATACTCATATTGTTTTGAAGAGAAGCACATGTGAAATGACTTACTCCACAAGGATTTCTGTTTTAACTCACAACTTACTGCAGGCAATATTTATGATCAAGAAGCACCATGTCTCATGCCTATACTCTTAGCTACTCAGCACGTTGATACCTGGAAGATCACAGTTCAAAACCAATGTGGGAAGAAAAGTCCCAAAAACTCCATCCTTAATATAATCAGCCAAAAGCAGAGCCTGGCTTGGTTTGAGTGGTGAAGTAGCATCTGTGTGCATGTAAACCTGGAAAGTGGGAAGCCCCTGATTTCAAACCCTGCTACCGGAAAAAGTAAATAATGTTAAACAAGAAATGTACTCATTACTTTATGTATGTTACTGTAACCACCTCTGTACGTCACCTTGACAAGACAATTAAAAAAAAGTCCATGTGGCAACAGAATATAGAGATTTTCAAATTACCTGTAAGTAGTGGTATAAAGGGAAGGGGTTTCAATTAAACATGTCAACTTACGAGTGCAATGTGACTTCTTCCATTATTTTCCCCCCCATCTCTCTCAAACCTACCTATTCCTTCAAGTTTCCTTTTCACGTATGCACAATGAATATTCTGACTGTATTTGCCCATCTTCCTCTCTATTTGTTTGCTCTCACCTCCCCTTGAGTCCTACTCTCCTCTGACAAAACTTCATCCTGGTATTCATTCTGTTAAACTGTAAGTTAGTTGTTAGAATCTTCCCCTATGTATACCAGAATCTTTTTAGTGTTTGAGTGGCTATTCTCTTAAGAGCTATCCAATATCATTTTCCCTATTTCCAGTGAGAGCCTTTCTAGAAAATGTAGACTTAGGTGATTCTAGATCTGTGTATTTGAAGTAAGTTTTGTGTTCTTGTTGTTTTTCTATAAAATTTTGTTTCTTCCTTTAAACCAAAACCATCAGACAAAAATCACTATAAACTAGAAACTCATTAAATATTCTTCATGGTTTAAGTACTATGTTTTATGTGTCCTTCTCTTTTTTAAAAAGGTTTACTATCTTTATTTTGTATAGACAAAGATCATCTGTTTACAAAAACTAAAATACACAAGATAAATCAGTGAAGTGACTGTAACGGTAATAATTCTTGTCAATTTTCATTTGTCTTTTTTTGAGTCTTTGTTCTGCTGCCACAAAGTTATAGCTATTTATGTTTCAGTATCCTTCTGATGTGTTATGGTAAGGTATATGGAATATAACAGCATAGTCATTCAACATTTTCCTGTCAGACCTCTTCCTTCACACAGAAGAAAGCACATGTCATCAAAAGTATAATATTCTATAAGAAAAATGACAGCAAAGGTGAAGAATACTTAATCATGTGATCAATAGACTATAAATGATGCTGTTTCCTATAAATTAAAATACTTTTGGTCACTGTATAGATCAAAAATAAATTTGAC